CCCACTTGTCCAACCTGTCCAGGTCTGCTTGCAGCTGTTACCTGCCCTCCGGCGTGTCTACTTCTCCCCACATTTTTGTGTCATCCGCAAACTTAGACAGAGTACACTTCACTCCCTCGTCCAACTCGCTGATGAAGACATTGAAGAGTATCGGTCCAAGGACCAAGCCCTGCGGGTCTCCACTGCACACACCCTTCCAGGTCGATACCGACCCATCCACCATGACTCTCTGGGTGCGACCCTCTAGCCAATTCGCCACCCACCGGACTGTGTAGTCATCCAAGTCACAGCCTCTTAACTTGTTCACCAGTATGGGGTGGGATACCGTATCGAAGGCCTTCCTGAAGTCTAAGTATACGACATCCACCCCTCCTCCTGTGTCCAGGCGTTTCGTAACCTCGTCATAAAAAGAGACTAGATTAGTCAGGCACGATCTGCCTGCTACGAACCCGTGCTGGTTTCCCCTCAGCATAATTTGTCCTGCCGGGCTCTTGCAAATGCGAGCCTTGATAATTTTTTCAAAGATTTTGCCAAGGATGGAGGTAAGACTGACTGGCCTATAGTTTCCCGGGTCCTTCTTCCTCCCCTTCTTGAAGATGGGGACCACATTGGCCCTTTTCCAGTCCTCCGGGACTTTGCCCGTGCGCCACGAGTGTTCAAATATTCCCGCCAGTGGTGCTTGCGCCTACCCTGGGGGTCTTCAAAAGGAGGCTAGATAATCACCTAGCCGGGGTCGTTTGACCCCAGCATCCTTTCCTGCCATGGCAGGGGGGCGGATTTGATGGTATGCTCAGGTCCCTTCCGACCCTACCAACTATGAAACTATGAAGGGAGTGGTGTTGGTCAGGGTGACTGAGCGGAGGAGTTACATGAGCACCTGTTTTTATATTCATATACCAAGACAACTTTCTCTAAACTACTACTTTTTGGTTCCCATACCCCATGTCTATCTGTACTTCCTTCCCTTGTCTTCTCTCTGCTGTCTCCTTCCTACCTAGCACTGCTCTCTCTTTCTCTTTGTGATCTCTTCCTTTGTGTGTCCATTCACTCTCCTGTAGCTTTCCTTCCTTTCCTCCTGATTTTTCTTCCTCAAAGTCTGCCTGTCATCACAATGAGTGGTGACGAGGCAGAGCAAGCAGTCATCAGCCTAACAGTCATCAGCCCTGTCTGTGAGGGGATGTGACTCGCCTTTTATTCCCATTGTTCCCTGCTGGGGACACAGCAGTTCTTGGTCCCAACAATGACGTGTAGGG